ACAACAACAAAAGGTTGTGAAATCAGGCACGGCTCCCTGAATATCCACCTGGCTTAACAACGAAAATTCTTGTTCTGACTGTGGCCGTTCAGTCAAATTTTTAGTGCAAATTTTCATTTGCCAAACACAAAAATGGATTTTGAGATGGGATGAAATTCAACCAGTTGTCGGTTTGGATTTTGTCAGAACCAACAAGAGACACGGTTGCAGCCTTGAATCGCATCCCCACAAAATTCAGACTGCTGCTGAATTTTTCCCAGCTAGCGATGCTTGTATTAGAAGTTCAGGCACGCCGATGTTTCCGTTTAATGTCCATGTGAGTATTCCTGAAACTGGATCTGAGGGCACTTTCCCCCTCTCACAAAAAAAATAAGGATTTTCAAATAAAGTGTTTTTCAAACTTGGAAGTTTTGAAAAGTTGAACATTTTCAAACGTCGAACTTCCAGTATTCCCTAGCTAGTAAAACAAAGCTGGGGAATTCTGGGTACTGAAGCCCAGTCCACCCCTCTTAAAAAGCGGCTAAAACACTGAAAAACACTGAATTAGGCTGGCCTTCTCCAACTTTGGCCATTTGGAGACCTGTGCACTTCAACTCCCAGAATTCCCCAGCCAACTCTTTGTTTTTTTTTCACTTTGCTGAAGTCAAGATATATTACGCTTACTGCATTCCCACCGTCTATTAAGAAAGTTACCCTCCATGGCTGGCTGGGGAATTCTGGGAGTTGAAGTCTACACATCTTCAAGTGCCCAGACAGACCAGAAATAAAAGTTAAAATAAGCAAATAAATAGTAAAAGAACACCTGTCTGATCTTGATGAAAACAAATCACCGGGGCCTGATGGATCACATCCCAGAGTTTTAAAGGAGCTGGCAGAGGTCATCTCAGAACCACTGCACCATATCTTTCAAAAATCCTGGAGCACCAGGGAACTATCAGAGGACTGGAAAAGAGCTGATGTGGTTCCCATCTTCAAAAAAGGAAAAAAAAAACAGACCCAGGAAACTACAGACCAATCAGCCTAACATCAATACCCGGGAAGATACTGGAAAAGATAATACAAAAAACAGATCTGCCAACATCTAGAAACAAGTTATAACTAGCAGTCAATACGAGTTTAAGAACAGATCATGCCAAACCAATCTCATTTCATTCTTCAACACAGTGACTAAATTAGTAGACCAGCAACATACTGTGGACATAATATATTTAGATTTCAGCAAGGCATTCGACAAAGTAGACCACAGCCTACTTCTTAGTAAGCTAGAAAAAAAGTGGAAGAGATAGCACCACCACTAGATGGACTCGCAATTGGCTGGCAAACCGTACTCAACGAGTAGTCCTTCATGGGTCTAAGAAGTCTACCTGGAGGGAAGGAAGCAGTGGGGTGCCACTCTTAGGCCCAGGACTCTTCCATATCTTCATTAACGACTTAGATGAGGGAATAGAAGGGGAACTTAGCAAACTTGCAGATGATACTAAGCTGGCAGGAGTAGCCAACACCCGAGAAGACAGGCTCAAGATCCAGAGGGATCTTGACAGACTAGAAGACAGCCGTATCTAACAAAATCAAATTCAGTGTAGAGAAAAGTAAAGCCCTACACTTAGGCAAGAAAAACCAAATGTACATATATAAACTGGGTGAAACCAGGCTCAATAGCAGTAGCTGTGAGAGGGATCTTGGAGTCTTAGTGGACAACCAGCTAAAGAGGAGCCAGCCATGTGCAGCAGCAGCCAAAAAAGCCAATGCAATCCTAAATTGCATTAACAGAGGGATACAATCCAGATCAAGGGAGGTACTAATACCACTCTATAAAGCCTGAGTAAGACCACACCTAGAGGACTGCATCCATTTTTGCTCACCACGTTATAAAAAAGAGATTGAGACTCTAGAAAAAGTGCAGAGAAGAGCATCCAGGATGATGAGGGGACTGGAGGCTCAAACATATGACGGACGGTTGCAGGAACTGGGCCTGGCTAGTCTAGGGTAGAGAAGGACCAGGGAAGACAGGAAAGCAGCCTTCCAATATGGGCTGCCACAGGGAGGAGAAAGGGGTTTTCTAAAGCACCTCTGAAGGCCAGACAAGGAACAATGGATGGAAACCGATCCAGGAGAGATTCGACCTGGAAACAAGGAGAAACTTTCTGACAGGGAGAAGCATCAACCCATGGAACGGACGTTGCCTTTGGAAGTTGTGGGAGCTTCATCCCTGGAGGCTTTCAAGAAGAGACTGGACTGCCATCTGTCAGAAATGGTGTAGGATCTCCTGCTTGGGCGGGGGTTGGACTAGATGACCTACAAGGTCCCTTCCAACTCTTGATTATCCGTTATCCGCCCAAGGTTGGAAATCCCTGAACTAACTTATGAAAGGTGTAAAGTCTCCTGCTTGGGCAGGGGCGGTGGTGTTGGACTAAGGTCCCTTCCAAGTTCTTGTTAATCTGTACAGGTGAGTAGGAAACCTGGAATTGGCCTACCTAGCGAGAAACTTTTGAAACCAAACTTTTGCACTTGAAACAGAGAAGGTTTAAAGTCCTGATTTAGCCGTCCAGCTTTCTATATCCGTCCTCCGGGCTGGAGGTTTAGCATCCAGGACTAGAAACATGGTGACCGGGCTTTTAGGAAGCGACGGGGTACCCCAGCCCTTCCTGACGCCGCCTTGTTTCTCCCCCTCGAAAAGGGGTTCACCCCGTGCCACTCCGGATTTCGGTGGCCCCGGGTCTTCACCTCCACCCCCAAAGGCACGTTAGGGCTCGAAGCGAAGGAAGTCTCTTGTTCTGAGCCGGAAAAAGGGGACATCTCCCCTTTGAATTAAAAAAAAAAAAAGAAGCAGAAAATTCAACCAGTTTTTTTTTTTTTTGCTACGGATGAAAACTTGCCGGCCAAGGTTAAAAAAAAAATTAATAATATTTTTTTGGCTGCTTCCAAAAGGGCACTGGGGGGCTGCCAACGGAAAAGACAGGAAAAGTAGGATAAGGAAGGACTGAATCAGCTCCCCCGGGCGCCAAGCAGCCCCGAATGGAAACGCCACATTCTGGGGAGGAAGGAACCTCCAGTGATTAGATAAGCCAGGATAGTCGCTGGCTTGCACAAACTCTCCATTGTGCGAGAGGGAAGAGAGAGAGAGAGAGAGAGAGAGAGAGGATACACGCACGCACACACACACACACACACAGAGAGACATGGGGGTCTATCTATAGAGGCCACTTCCTGCCAGTTTGCAACCTGGATTTGGGAAGACAGCCTCCTGCCTCTTCCCAAGGCGGGTTTTTTCCCCACCCCCACCCCCCCGCCTTTGGCAAGGCTGCCAGGGTGGGAAGGCCAGAGAAAGGGGGAGAGGGAAGGGCGGGCGCTTTTGGGGTCATCCGAGCCTTTTTTGGGGGGAGGAAGACAGACGGCAAAGCGAAATCCACGGGACGGGCCTTCCTTGATTCAAGTTTTTAAACTCTTGCTTTTAGCATGGCTTTTGCTGGAAAAATTCGATAAGATGGAGGGATGGCTTCCTGCTCTTGGGGAGGGTGGGGGCGGGGGGGGGGGGAGATTGTAATTTAAAGAACAAAAACCTGCTTTCCATTGTGAGGGCATGAGGCAGGACCAGAAGCAAAGGGTAGAAACCCATCAAGGGGAGAAGAGCAACTCAGAACCCAGGAGGCATTTCCTGACAGTTAGAACAGCTCGCCAGCAGAAATTGCGAATGCTCCAACATGGGAAGTTTTTAAGGAGACTGGACAGCCGCTTCTTTCAAACTGTGCAGGGTTTCCGACCCCCTGAGACCTCCAAGGCCCCTTCCAAGTCTGCTATCCTATCCTATATTCCATTCTATTCTTCCTATTCCTATCCTATATTCCATTCTATTCTTCCTATTCTGTTCTATAATTCTTCCTATTCCTATCCTATATTCTATTCTTCCTATTCCTATCCTATATTCTAT